TCTACAGCAGCGCCTCGGCCCCCAGCAGCCCCCTGGCCAGGAAGGTACGGCCGGGACCGCCCCGCACCCCCCGCATCCCCCACCCGACGCCGACCCTCTCCTTCCCGCAGTCCGTGCAGCGAAGGACGCGTTCCGGTGACCGCTGCCCGCGCGCCCGCGGATCGCTGCCGCCCGACGGCGCGGAGCTGCGCTTCTCCGCGGCCGAGGAGAGCCCCGACGCGGCCCCCCCGGGTGAGCGCCGCGGGGCGGGGGGGGTTGGGGGGCCGCTCCGCTCCGTCGGAGGGCTCCGCTCATCTCCGCCGTTCCTTCCAGAGCCGCCCGACGGGTCCCCCCCGGAGCGCCGCAGCCCGTGCCGCTGACTCCCACCGCCCACCCTCGGCCGCCCCCACTCAGGACCGTCCCCCCGGCAGCCGCCCGTCCCGGGGCCGGAGAACGGTGACGCCGCGGGACTCTCCGGCACCGCGCCGCGACCCCCAAAGCGGGAGCCCCTCGGTGAGGGCTGCGCTGTTCGTCCGGAACCGCCCAAGTGTGTGCAACCCCGCAACCCCCCTCCGCGGCAGCGCGCGGCCGCCTGAGCTTCCCCGGCTCCCGGTGCCCCCATCCCGGCGCCGCCGCAGCGCTGCGCTCCTCTGGGACCCCTCGGACGTGTTCGGCTTCGGCCGGGGGTGGTTCCGTCCATCCGCTCCCGGTGGGCGCGGGGTCCCCTCTCGGGCTCGGAGCCCCAATTCTGGTGCTATCCCCAACTCCTCAGCACTCAGCTGCCCACCCCCCCGCCCCCCGGGCTGGGGGTCCCCGCATGTTCACCGCTCCCCGCTAACCGGACAGCAGTAGAGCTGAATGTAACCCCGGCGGGGCGCAGCCCCACAGCCACAATAAAGAGTAGAGGTCTTTTTCTATACGCAATCAAGGGCGTGCCGTGCTGTCTGTCTGTCTGCCTGTGTTTGCTGCTGGGCTCACTGCCAACCCGGTGCCACCGGCACAGACGCGGCGCCGGCCACAATTGGCACCGAGTACCGTTGGGAGCTGAGCCGCGTCAACTCCTCAGCCAGGAACGCGGCGCTGCCATTCCTGCTGTGCAGGGGTGGGGGCTGAGTGGGAGCTGCAGCCAACGCCCACACTGCAGTGTTGGGACAGGCCGTGTCATCATTCCATTCCCATCCCCATCCCATCCCCCCCCATCTTATTCCCCCCATCCCATCCCATCCCATCCCATCCCATCCCATCCCATCCCATCCCATCCCATCCCATCCCCATCCCC